GATTGTAGCAACACTAGGCTGTTGTGGTTCTATACGAGTTGTACGTTGTGTTATGGGAGGAACAATATCTGGTTGAATAGCATCATCATGTAATGCATGCTCATTAGGTGTTATATTTATATTTAATATGTTATGATTATGAATATTGGTTTTGTTGCAAACATTGATTATATATTTGTTGAATAATTGTGTGAATAGATTAGTAAACATAACGACCGATAAACCAAACCATAGGCCCAGAAGTGAGCCGATGAACAGAACGTACTCTTCAATAGTCATTTTCAATAAGACCTCGTATGTAATATCGGGCTCAGTCGGTAATTTTAAATAAATGGTAAACTGTTCTTCATCAACGTATCTTTCATATGTCGGTTTATAATGAAGGTTATAATAATGTTTTATGCACTCTATTCCTTCATTGCATTCATTCAGGCAATATATATCATAAGAAGGAAACGATGTACAGCCGTTTACTAGAGAATAGTTAACGTAAGAATTACTCTGATTAATAAAACCATCATCGTCATCAAAATGTAGAATATCATCGGAATAACATCCGTGCTCATTTTGTTCTTGATGTAGTTTTCTCATAATGCATTGCATTATGCATTTATTAAGTTTTTTGCCCACCAAACATTTATCATTATTTAACAGGTAATTCAATTTGACGACATATTTGCGGTAAAATATATCTAAGAACTTTGTTTTATTGGTGTCACCAAACCAATGACCAACGGGAAAACAATTGCGTATTCGTTGTTGGCGTGAGTGCACATGCACATCTACCCTGTCGATGCGTGATATATTGTTTATAATAAAGCGAACGGTGGTATTGATATCATCCGTTTTGGGTTTCATATCGTAAGGCTTATTAGACTCATTGCCCGCCCATTGGGACAATATTGTCACACAAAACATTCCACCCATTGAAGTGAGAGACCTGCGATATGGGGTGACGTCCGTGCAATTTTTGACTTCATGTTCATAAATAATTATACATTCAAATAAATCACCAACGTCTTTTAGTTGATCCATCTGATTCTTTCGTCCGACCAAACGTTTATATAGAGCGGAATTTAGTGGTAGAAGTAGGTTCATAAATATGAAACGTAGGAGAGCATAGTCCGGAAACCAGCTGTGCGTATAACATTAACGTCCTTCTGATTTTAGTAGCACAAACTTAACGTTTGTTGTTTTTTCATATGAGAAGTATATTAAACTGATATTATATGACTGGTATAAGAATCCACACAATAATAATGTTTTCATTAGTAAACTAATAATTAATGATGTAGACATGATTTTACAATGAAATTTTAAAATTATATTAGAAGCTTTAAGGTTTAATAATTTATTCAAGCTTGATCTGCTGACATTCCCAATAAAACATACATCACATCTAATTATTTTATTTAAATTAAAGTCCCCTTTTAATATTATTGCAATATTATTAATATTGTTATAAATAATTATTTTGTTGTTAGACCATAATGACATCAATTTGTAATCTAGTATAATATAAGCAAGGGTGGTAGCATTAAAGTCGATATTATTGTTTTGCTGACTATGTCTTAGTTATATTAAACATGAATAGCCTGGCAATCCATGATAAGCTGACATTCAAATTAAAACATACATTTATATTTAATTAATTTTTTTAATCAAAATCTGTTTCTCACATTATTGTAATAATATTAATCTGAATAAAAATAATTATATTTTAGTTACACCCTTATTGATTTGTAATCTAGCATATTGCAAATTAGTATGTAACCTCAAAGTGGATATTATTGCATTTTTACTTATTATACACCGTAATAAAGTATCGATTTAATATACACTGTGTATACGATAGTTTGCCCTATTTTATGGCATTTACATTATACATAATTTTGCCATATTGTTAAGGATTTTGTCTACCAATAACTATTAGAATTTAAAGGCAAATAATACACGTTTAATTTGGTATGCCTTAAATAATAATGGATAAACCCTAAGTTTACCAGGAACAATTTTATTGTTAAAATATCATATTCCAAATATTATTGATTTTGTGACCTAGTCTAATTCTGGATATAGTAGTTGTAGATGGTTAATATTATTAAGTGACATAATGTATTTCAATGGCATATCGGGCGCAATTGCTTGCCATTTAAAATCTACATGTTCAATTTTAATGATTAGTGCATCAAATTGTTCATAACTAGATACTGCAAAAAGTAATTTTTTTAATTTTTGATTTTTCAACTAAAACATTTATAAATCGAGATAGAACAAGTCTCTCATAGAAATACATTATGATACTTAATTCTGTATCATTTGTTAGAATTCATATAATAGAGTCAGGTAATTAGCAGGGAGAGATGATATTTCATCTCAATAATTTAAATTTTAAATTACAAAATTAATATTTAAAAAACATTACACATTGATAATATTTAATATAAATAATCATGACTCATTATAATTAACATCGAGAATAGTATTATATCGATCATAAATTGTCGAAACTTTCCAATGACCACCAGCAAGAAACAAGGCGTGGCGGACCCACACTCGGGTATCGGGACTCGTCCAGTGGGCCTCCATGATTTCATTAGCAAGCACCATGGTACTTTTCTCCAACTCCAGATACTCTTTAGCGTATTGAGTCATAGAGTTTGTGAGCGATATGTTGTCGATCTGTGCCAATACGGCCACACCGTTGTACACTCGGCTCGGGTTCCCGCCGGCGTCCATCAGCTCCTTCTCGAGAGAGTACATGTCATTAGCCATTAATACGACACGATTTAACTGTTTGAGCAATTGTTGGAATATAGGGTTCCGCCACTCGTCGTCCGGTACGTAGAGATGGTCCGTGTATTCAATAAGCTGATAGCACATACCGCTCGCCACCGATTTTTCCCTAACCTAATAGTGAGCAAACAATAGCAGTGAAATAATTGCCATATTTATTATACAAAGATTATTACAATTAGCCTAATTTATATAATATATGGATTATTTAACAAATATATTATAACTATTAAACCTCATAAAATTCATCGAGATTATTGAATTGGCGTTTGCGGTCAATATCGTGGCTCTCGTCGATCATACCCTCCGCCCAATCGCGCGTCAAACGCACGAACCGGCGCTTCTGGATGTCGTTAAAAGTGGCACATATTGTGTCGTACAGGGCGTACGCGGCCAACACATAGGGTTTCCAGTGGTGTGCGGACACGTGTTGTCCGTCACCGGTGCCATCGATTGCGGCCAACAACTTATCGCACACGCCGTGCATTTGACCGCAAATGGTGTCCACTTCGGACACCCGGCGATACATATCGCCGTACGGACACTCCAAGTGATCGTCTACTATACCAAAGTTCATCATCACTTTGACCATGGTGTCGTACCGGTCCGGGTCCGTACAAAATGGGTAAAAATAAGCTACAAATTGGGATGCGTTACGTATGCGCCGGTACTCCCTCTCCGTGAACAGACTCGTCTCTATTGACCACCGGTGGGCCGCACCGGCTCTCGGCTCCACATTATGAAGAGGGTTGCCCTCAAACGGCATGATTGTTACCACGTATTCTGGCATCGGGTACTTACGCTCAGGCTGTTGTTTTTGGTGTATGGAAACGGCCATGATCAAGTTTGATTAAAAGTTACAAATTATTTTATTTCAATTGTAAGTATAAGTTATTTTAAATCTATTTTCAATGGGTATAACATTATATTATAATTGTATTGACAATAATTTTAAATATGTTTTCACAGATGTGTTACCACAACTGCAAATGAAGGAAAGTAATAATTGAGTAATTAATATTGTTAAATTAATAACTACCGTAATATTGAAGTAGTTTACGTAAATATTTTTATGGCTGGTCTAAACGGCATTTTTTTGCAGTTTAGGCCATCCCATATTTTTAAATTTACATTTTTATATAAAAATAATCAAAATACGGTAGTTAGTTTTGCATCATGTTGTATCATTTTTAATTTATTTTTTTAATTAAAATAATAAAATAAATATACAATAAAATAATATACAAAATATTAAGTACATTTTTAAGTAAGTTAATAAGTAAAATTAATTTATAGAATGTGTTCAAATAGTTTGAATATGATAACTAAAAATAATATTACAAATAATATTTTATAGAATACAGAATCCATAAATCATTTTAAATACCAAAGGCATTGAAAAGTTTCAAAATCTTATTCAACAAATAATTATATACCCGGTGAACTTGAATTAAAATTTTATGCTCATTACTAAAGCCTTTCAAAATATGCATTTATAAGCAGTCAAATATGTCATATAATATGCACTAAAAAGTGGCTAAATATGCACTCAAATATGCACTTATAATTCTGTTAATATACGATATAAATATGATTTAATATAATTTATCAACGAATTGACGAAATGTTATGATAAAAATGGTCATTAGGCCTTAAAAACTCATTTAAATGTTCTAAATTACAGATAAAATGCAAATAAAAAATATATGGCTAATTTTTAAATGCTGTAATAATTGCTAGAACTACAATAGGTAATACTTTAGCATTAATATATCATGTTAATCAGATAGATATTTGTTTTATGACTTAATATTTGGTCCAATTATACAATTAATATTAAATAATTGTAAATTTTCTAAGAAATTGGACATTTTAGTTATGATTTTTGAGCAAATCCATGCTTTTTCTGCTTTTGGACTTATTCAATAATACAAGTTAATAAATAATTGGTATTATTAAAATGAATGTAAAATAATATTCATGAAAAAAGTTTTAAAAAACTATTTATTGTTAATATTTTTAAAAAATATAAAAGTTATTTATTAAATTTATTGTAACAGTATTAAATATAAAAAAGCGCTTTAAAGCCAAACACCATATAAGTCTATGGGAGGGTAGGAGTAGAGCCAAACACCATGCTATTCCTATGGGAGGTCGGTTTTTTGAGGCCCCATGTTAAATCCCATAGGAAAACGCTCCAGGACTTACCACTCTATACTACTCACGTATGCCAACCAGTTGTCGATATCGCCTAATATGTCGTCTCTAATGCCGGAATTGGGGTCAAAAACTTTGTCCGCAGGACTCAGCCATAGGTGTAATAATTGGTGACAATCAGTGACCGCCTTATAGTTTGTGAAAAGCTTAATATTACCGATTCGTGTGACCATTGGTCCAAATTCGGCCACTAATTGACTACTTTTTGGCGATAAATTACAGCAAATGTCCCGTAAATGCGGGCAATTGTTACGAAAAATGCCCAATACTTCGGGAATGTGTTTTTCACATCCAAAGCCTACTCCCCGGCAGTCAATGGTTTCAATGTTCGGACATTTGGTAGCAATTGTGGCCATTTTTGCGCAATTGTTTGACTTGAATCTTGAATTTGCTTCAGAAGGCGATCATTGATTTTGATGTCCACAACACTCTTGAAGACAGTTCTACTGAATTGTTTGGACACACATTCGCAACGGAATCGGTCTTCGGGTAAGAGGTATGACAGCAATACTTCACACAAGTCATCGCCGTATCTGTCCATTGAGTTCTTGGCGTAAATCTGTGGCTAAAATGTGATACAAAAACACAATTAAAACTCAATAAACACTAAATTGTTTATGAAATACCTTTTGTGTGTTGCCGTCATCTGTGGTCTCGATTGATGTCATCGTTTGTGTCAACTGTTGGGCCATATCTTTGGATCAATTGAAGTTATATTTGAGAAGAGAGACACGTATTTATAAAACAACGATTAAAAAGTTATAATTAAAACAAAACACAACACGTTATGAGTGGTGGCAGTGATTGAAACAATTGGTTTGAATGACAGAAACCTAATGAGCACTGAATTGATTGTTCACTCCTTATATATGCGGTTAATTACCTCAAAGTTTAGTTACAATACTTGGTTTTAATACTGACACCGAGTATTGAAAACGTGTAAAATTTACTTAACTATTGATTACAATAATATAAATGTGTGGAAAACGTGTTAAATTCGGCATATTTCAGTCGGTACTGTTGAAAAGTAAAATTTTACACCAAGATTATTCGCCCAGCGCTCGTATGCTGTTCAATACCGCCAGTGGCCGCTCATGTATTCACATCAGTTCTGTGTTATATGGACTACAATGGTGTCCATAATCATTCACTTATTTCATATATCGTGGCCAACCTATCACTGGCCGTATGGATAACTTATGCAACTGTAATGGGTTTTTCGTTTGTATTTGTATCACAAGTGCTGACCATTGGTTACATGAAGTATATATTCAGGCAAATCAACAAAACCTTAGCCGAGGGTTTGGACACCGACTGCCAGTCTATTGCACTGGTTTTGGAGGCCATTGCCAAACACCAGAGGTGGGCAGTAGTGGTTGAAAAGTGCAATCAAGTAATGTCTCTATGCATTGGTTTTGTTTATTTCTGTTGCACACCGGCTAAGAATGTGTTGCTATACCTATCATTCTGTCCGGGTATACACCCATTGATTAAGTCGGTGTATATAATTACAGGTGTGGGCATATTTTTTTGTCCAAATAGGCATTAACTTTATGTGCACCTCATTTACCACGACTGTCCATCGGTCCAGTGGCCTAATGCACAAGTATCTGGTTAAGCATAAAATGACCAAAAGAACCAGGTTGAGAATTGCACAGTTTATTGATAAACTCGATGGTAAACCCATAGGGTTTTATTGTTTTAATTTGTTTGTCTGCACTCATTATGCTTTTTATCACTATATTATGTATTTTGTCACTAATTATATCCTAATGCGATCGTTTGCCTGTAATTTTAATATTGCTTAATCGCACTAATAAAATATTTTGTAATTATATACTTTTTAAATTATTAACTAATATTGAAGTTTTAATTTTTGGTTTCAAAGTTAACATTTTAATAAATGTTTTAAAAAGTTTTATTATTATTTAATAAACTTATAATTGAGTGCAAGGCTCACATAGTGAGTCAATTTGTAATCTATTTTATTTTAATTTATTTAATAAACAGAATGTATAACAACAAATTGTTGTCAACAATACAGTATTATCTTTAGGTAGTTTATGTGACATGAAAGATCTGTAAAAATCACTTATAATTGCATGCATTCATATGCGGTGTAATACGGTAATAGAAAATAACCACATTGATTTATTTTAATATAGAACTCGTAAATACTAAAACTAATTTATAATAAAATAAATATAATAAATCAATATTTCTTTACGGTGTATAATAAGTAAAAATGCACTAATATCCACTTTGAGGCTACATACTTTTCGCAATATGCTAGATTACAAATCAATAAAGGTGTAACAATAATATAATTTTTATAGCAAAATTATTAGAATAATATTATTGCAATAATGTGAGAAACAGATTTTGATTTAAAAAATTAGTTAAATATAAATGTATGTTTTAATTTGAATGTCAGCTAATCATGCATTGCCAGGCAGTTTATGTTTAATATAAGTTATATTATATAACTAATGTAAGTTAAGCAAAACAATAATATCGACTTTAATGCTACCTCCCTTGCTTATACTTGATTACAAATTGATGTCATTATGGTCTAACAACAAAACAAGTATTTATAACAAAATTAATTATATTGCAATAATATTAAAAAGAGACTTTAATTTAAATAAAATACTTAGATGTGATGTATGTTTTATTGTGAATGCCAGTAGATCAAGCTTGAATATTTTACCAAACTTTAAAGCTTTTAATATAATTTTAAAATTTCACTGTAAAATCATGTCCACATCATTAATAATTAGTTTACTAATGAAAACATTATTATTGTGTGGATTCCTATATCAGTCATATAATATCAGTTTAATATACTTCTCATATGAAAAAACAACGTTAAGTTTGCCGATGATTTTAGTCTTCCTGCAATTACAATATGCGTGTCGACCAAAGGCCTGATACGAGAGGATGCAAAGTATAAATACTTGGATGAAGATGGTGATTTAAGGCGAGATATATTTGCAAACCAGCCT